AACCAACACCACCACACACAACAACACCACCCACCACACACACACACAGACAAACGCTACTGAAAACATAACCTTCTTGGCGAAGGTAATGACATAGTATGTTCAAACGTATATATGTGTAAATATAAAGAATAGAATGCTAAATATTTCTGCAAAATCAAGTGATAATACTCAAGCGGCGTTATTGGTACAATTGTGTAAATATAGTTTAAAATAATGATAATAATTGTTTTTACCTCTCGAGAAGAAATCGTTTTGCTGTAACTCTACTGCCAGGAGTCGCTTTTCCTTCTAGCTCCTGTTGCAGCATCTATGGAAAAACATGAAACAAACTTCGATCAAATTTGTTGCGTGTTCCGCTTTATCATGTTTTATCATTTCTACCTTTATGGTTTTATTCATCAATTCCACATTCAACCTTAGATACAGGAATGTTATATACACTTAAGAAATGTGACAATTCGTCAAAAGACCTTCACAATGTCCAAAGTATCTTCCTCTCATTGCAACACAACTTGCCACGGAAAAACTGATGCACTGCAAACTAAAAAGTATGCACAACAAATCAAAAAGAATTTTTAAAAAAGTTTAGAAAAAAAATTTTTAAACTCTGATTCCAAAATACTTCAACTTTGTAGCAGGTTGAAAAAATTGAGCACAGAAAGAAAAATTCAGTAAAAAAAATGTTGTGTTACTGCAATATTCGCGCCGCGAAAGTTGTCCTTCTGTACCTGACCCCTATGCTGTGAAAAAATCCTGGTGAGAACCCTGCTGTTATCAAATTTGTCCCTTGCTCCCCTCCCCCTCTCCCACCACAGTGAAAATCAGGCTCTGTGAACTTGTCCAATTTCCTCAGACCGTGAAATTCTGGTACTGGGAAGACAAAGTATAAAGAAATGTTCCAACCTTGTTCTTTGCAGTGAGGTTCTGAATCTGCTGCTTCGCATCTCGGAGTTGGTCCTTTTTGGCCTGAAGTTCTTCTGATGACTCTCTAAGCTGTAAGGTATTGTGAGAAATGTAAATATCCCTTTCTTGACTGTATGTTGCACAACAAAGTTGAGAAAGCAGGCCACAGTATCATGATAAATCAGAGAGTCTCTCTCTCTATCCAGTTTAATATCTTTTTTCCCCAAAGCTGGAGGTTAGACGTGCTTGCACCAAGTGCAACTCTTTTTTGAAGCAAGATTTTTCCGCCAAGACTTTAAAAAACTTTCCTTGCAAACATGAAATGTATAATAACAACTTCAGCCAAGGAGGTAGTGATTTCATTAGTATTCTTTGTAATTTTAGGCTATAAATGTATAATGTAGCATGACTTACACTTACACTGATCAAGGACATTATACAGAGATGTCCATGCACTGATGAACACACAAACCTGCGCTGTTTTTGATGACAATTCCTTTCTGTATCTTTCCGCATCATCGGCATATTTTCTTCGCGTTTCTTTTACTTTCTCATAGTCCCTGAAAGGCAAGCAGTGAAGTGAAGCTAGTAAGGTTCTTTTGTGGCAATTTAATGATAACTACAGAATGTGCATAATCTACATATATATATTAATGAGGAAGACGAACTCAAAGTTTTCTTTGAAAATATGGCACAATACCACAGTGACTCTATTCATATGTCTTTTACTTGATTCTGAAAAGACTTACACTATTTTTTTTCATATAAAGATGGAGGTCAGGATATTACAGTATGTAATTGTGAGGCTGGGGTTGTATAGGATAATTAGAATATAAGAAAACAGAAATGAACATGAAAACAGGAGAAGTACAGCAAATGCTTTTAATTTCTAATTTCTTAGTATTCAGCCTGAATATCAATTCATAATTTTTTATAAATATTTTTCAACTACAGATTCCACTAGTCACTGACGAAAAGTAGTGAATGGTACTTGAAATGTCTGACAGCTTTCAAAATCAAGTTTGCTTGAGTAACAGTTTTCTTGTGATATCAGAACTCAAATGACTTACTTTTTCAGGCTGTGATAGGCTGAGTAAAAGTTCTAAATGGGAACTATGCGGCTCCAGGACTGAGGGACGACTGTGTGTGCGAGATGTCGGTAGCTTGAGGAATGAATCCCCTCTACTATATATCAGAATTCAAATGACTTACTTTTTCTAAGACAGTTAAGTGCCTTGCCATGCTCTTGGCTGACTCTGCTCCCTCCCCCATGAGTTGTATCAAGTCTTCTGCTTCGCTGGAGCTTCCCTTGATCAACAGCTGTAGCCTATCAGAACAAGCGTAACATTTAAATGTGAACGTAATACAATCATCATTATGAGACAACCACGAAGGATGGGGAATAGGAAAAATACTAACAGTTATAGATAAAACAAGGTGCTAGAGGGACCAAACTCAAGTCATTTCTTCCAGAACACAAGAGCTACATGTATCTACCATCCAAAATTTGGGACCAGATCATGAGATGTCAAAAACCAGTTCTGCTGCAGTACCATAGCATTGCAAGCTGCCATGGGGCCCCCAATCTAATCATTTTGCGGTCTTATCAAGACCTACCTCCCTACCAAGTTTCATGACAATCCACCTAAAGCTCTTTGAGTTATTGTGCTAAACCATATACATACATACAAATACACACACAAGCGCTACCAAAAACACAAACCTTCTTGGCAAAAGTAACAATTGAAAAAAGATTATTAGAGAGACTGTAGGATTATTTGTAGAAAAGGACAGGGAAAGAAAGAAAGAGAGACACAGTAAAAGAGACATTTACCTCTCCAGTTCTACAAGTTTCTTTCTGAGCTTCTTGGCATCAGCCTCTGCTTGCTGTGCCTGTTTCTTATGGATGTCCACCAGCTTCATTTGTTGCTGCAACAGAGAAAAAATAACCTCTTCACAAAAACTATCATAAAATGAAAGAATGTACTGTAATGGTCATGCATTTTGTACAAAATTGAGCTATATTTTTAAAAAAATGTGTTGTTACAAGCTGTTTGTTTGTATGTTTGTTTAGGATCTCCGTTAATGTGAAGTTCACACTACTCTTCCTGGAGTCCGTAGTGAATAATCAGACTAGTATTTGTACCATCGCACATCGGGGCATGCCCCTACTCTTTTTTGAAAGGTGTGGTGGGTTCTTTAACATGCGTGGGGTGTGGCTCTTCCCAAACACGGGACCTCCATTTAACGTCCAATCCGAGATCTAGAGACATCCCTAGCCGAAGCTAGGTACTCTTTGTCTTTTCATACTAGTATCTCTGCATTGGATTGTTTTTTTCCAGTGTGTGTATTCTTCTCCCAGTCTTTAAAAAAATCAAGTTTCTTCAAAATACACATTGGCAAGTCCCTTTTTAAAAAGAGATTAGACAAACGTAAGTTCGTAACAACAAACTTCAGTTAAAGCCTCCACTGTGTATACTAGGGCTGGGTACCGGTTCAGCTGGACCTGTTTGGGCCTGAATAACATTCAAGAACCGAGTCCAAAAAACCTAAACGCAAAAACCTAATCATCGAACCTGATGTAAATTTCTGTTGATTTTAGAGTACATTTCGGTAGATTGTACAGACATCTTTAGGTAATCTGGTCATGGCAAGTGAAAAAAATAACCATGAATCAAACTAGATTAGCCTAAATCCATGTTTGTCTCTTTCTGTAACTGTGGGTTCCATTTTAGGTCGACAAAAAAGTTCACGGACCACGAGGTTTGTGGTAGTACCGAGCGATAGATAATATCATCAAGGCATATGACCCCATACACTCAAATTGCTCCTACTACTGTACTTCACTAATAAGGTCCAGGTTTAGGTCCGGACCTGGACCTGATCCTCTGAACCTGATCCGGACCTGGACCTGAATTTTCTGAACCGGTACCCAGCCCTATGTGGGACACAACATCAGCAACAGCTGCCTTTGCCCAATGAAACTGTAAAAAAATCTGGGTTTTGGGCAGGCACAGTTAGTGTACGTTCTGCCAATGTGCTATATCTAATCTTCATCAAATGAACTCTAAAATTAACAGAAATGTTCATCAGGTTCGATGATTAGGTTTTTGCGTTTAGGTTTTTTGGACTCGGTTCTTGAATGTTGTTCAGGTCCAAACAGGTCCAGCTGAACCGGTACCCAGCCCTAGTGTATACCTTAAGAGTCTTGTTTTTATCTTGCTCATCTTGAAGCTGCTCTGTCAGGTCACGTAGCGTGACTCTGATGGTGCCAAGTCTGTCCTCCAACTGGTCCTTCTCTTTGTACAAGTCACGTTTCTCCTTATCTGGAAAAAGGAGATACGGAATTAGAGTTAGAGCCACAAACGTCTTATCTCAAGGGTAACAAGTCTGAGAAAATAAGTGTTCATATTCAATCTATACATCTATGTCACTTGTAAATATCAACTTTAAAACTTACCTTTTTCGCTGAGTTTTGCCTTAGCAGCATTAAGTTCATTCTGTAGAAAAGAAGAAGAAAAAGTTTGCAAATGAATCATGAATTCAATAATATAAATATCATCATCAATGATACTTACCAGAAAGTAATAATAAAGTTAATCATTAATTACTCAACTGCTTTGTATGATTATTTTGGTCTTCATTTACTCATTCATACAGAATAAAATACAACTCTTATACTATACAGTAAAAACTGCCCAAACAACAAACAACATGGCCACCATCCGAGGAGTTGGCAGTTTTCCAACACATTTTTGTGGCACAACTATGTTGATCTTTTTCTCCCCAAACGTCATTATGAATCTAGCCTGGTATCCAGTCTGATTCGTGGTCGGGGCCGCAAGAGCTCTGGCCCGCCCGCCTCACATAAGCGTCCCGGTGTGTATTTCACGAGAGATTAATTAGCCCTCCACGAACCAGTCTGATTCGTGGTCGGGGCCGCAAGAGCTCTGGCCCGCCCGCCTCACATAAGCGTCCCGGTATTTCACGAGAGATTAATTAGCCCTCCGTGTTGGGGGAAACCAAATCCCCGAGCATACTGTCTCTAATTAGCGTAACACTCCTACCGGGACGGTCTGTTGCACTGGGCGGGGGAAGGTCTTAGAGGCCCCGAAGACACAACCTGCCTAAACACCCCAATACCCCCAATCACGATCAGACTGGATACCAGGCTATTATGAATCCAGGCAGCCTTATAGTGCAAGAAAATGTGTAAAACAACTTAAAATAGTGAAAATCTTACCCGGTACATAATATCGCTTTAATGGAATCATCAGGCACCTACCCTGAGAGCACTGGGGTCTTCCTCGTCATCATCATCAGGTTGGTCGAAGAACAGTTTGCTGATGATGGTTCGTGCCGTGATTTTTCTGCGACACTGTGGACAACTGCTGCCAGTGGGAGTCGCCAACCACCGCGACAAACTACAATGTAGAAAGACACATAAATTCATAATACATGTATCATATTAAAATCACCAGCAAGCACAAGACATCCTAGTAACCTTACAGGGTTCTCAGCAGGATTTTTTCACAGCATAGGGGTCAGGTACAGAAGGCCAACTTTTGCGGCACAAGTTGCACATTGAGCCTAAAAGTTTTGAAACTCATAACCCCCTGAGACACTATTTCTCACTATATTGGGGGACAGATTTTGTAAAGTTAAGGTTTTCCCTTTGCTATAGCTTAATTTCATTTTTTTGCAAGATTCATGAAGGTTCTCCCCCCAAAACACCCCTATGCTGGTTGAAAGACAGCATAGGGGTCAAAATCACAGCATAGGGGGTCCAAATCACAGCATAGGGGGTCCAAATCACAGCATCGGGGTCCAAATCACAGCATAGGGGGCCCCTATGCTCAAAAGGCCTGGCGAGAACACTGCTTATCCAGCATGCTAACTTAGTAAGGTACTGGTATGGCATGAAATTTGTATTGCTGATAGGGTCAGGAAGCAAGCTTAAGGAGAAGGTTATAATTAACTAAACGTCTAATAATGTATGGCCATGGTATGTTTTGTGTGACAGTTCCTTCGAATCCATATCGTGCAACTACATGATGCATAGGGTAGTGCGTGTGTTCAACTACTAGAAAGCAGTTTGTACCATTTTTAAAGTCTAACGTTATGGTACAATTAGGCCAGCGATCAAACTCAGGACCTAACAAATGCAAGGCAAACTAGAAAGGCCAATATTTGCTTTGGAGCAAATACAGCGATGGGTTCACCACATTTTACGACATGGCAGGGAAAGAATGAGAAACACAAGGGAAAACAATGATTTACATTGATATAACTATAATATGAAGTAAAATACAACTAAAACAACAGTTGGATAGCTATTCCCTACTTTATTGGTTAGGATTTTTAATTGCATAATGCAAACTGTTGATTTTCAAAATAAAAAAAAAACGTCCATGCCCCGCATTCCAATGCTGGAGCAGGAAAGCTTGAAATACCTACCAAAACACTTGAATACAGACATACTGTCAGTATGGAAATGATCTGTGCAGGTGTTAATCAAGTTAAATCCCAACAGCCAATCAGCAAGAAATGCTCTGTGCAGGTGGAAATGCTCTGAGCAGGTGTTAATCAAGTTAAATCCCAACAGCCAATCAGCAAGAAGAATAGAGGAAAGCTGCATGCCTATTGGTTGATGCCCTGCATTCCATTGTGATGACTCATGCCCAAACGTGGTAAACAAGGCACACTAATACAGTAATACATTTGCTATAACACAGCCAAAAAACTCAAATAAAACCATTCTAAAAGCCTGTATCACAATAATTTAAAAAACGCCTAGGGGTATTTGCCCACTGTACCTCCATACCAAATTTCAGGACCTTAGGCCCTAAAAGGAAGAAGCTGAATCCATTTAAAAAATGGCAGGAGAAGGAGGAGAAGAAGGAGAAGAAACATCAGAAAAAGCAATATGGTTTCACCACACCACTTCGTGGTGTGGTGAACCCATAACAATTATATCCACTAGCCATTACACCATTTCTTATTGTAACAATGAAACTGTTACTCACCATCCTTCATGGAATGTATGTCCACCTGAGAAAATTTCTTGTTAAGGTTCATATAATATACAATGTCTTTAGTTGATATTATAGAAGTTGAACTATTTCTATCCATTTCATCTAAAACAGCTCATCAAAACAAAGGATACATGGTGTAGCAGAGATGGGTTTGTCATCTGTGAAATGGTCCGTGCATATTGTACAGACCCCCTTCATGGTGGCTACATGCAAAGATCCACAGTCTGGGAAAAGTACAGCTAGAGTCTTTAACTAGCGTTTCATCAACTGCAATGTCACTCCAGACATCATCATAGTCAGTCTTTAACTTCTTGATCTTTTGTTTAAAATGCTGCTCTTGATTCAGTATTTTCACATGAACGTGTCGTCTAGTTGAGTGCTGAAAAAGAATGAAGAAGAATGATCATACCTAACGTCTTGCATATTTTTTGGAGATTGGGTAGCAATTATTGCCATATTATAAACACTAGCCTGCTGGATGACCAGGTTCCCAGGGCCTACACAGGCCAACTCCTTAGCTCAAGGGCCAAGATACCCCGAAGAAAATTTGGGCATGTTGGAGCCGAGGATCTGGCCTGTGTAGGCCCTGGAAACAAGTCATCTGGCATGGCATCCGGATCCAGGCTAGCAAAAAATTATATTATCAGGCTGATACTATGTTGTTGATACATGTAACACGACAATTTCTTATTCTATCCTGATATTTCATGATGTTAAACGTAAACAATATATTAAAAGAAGTCTGGGCACTATGAGAATAGTTAATAAAATATTTATAGAAAACAACAACGAGCATTCTCCCAGCACACCACCAGGAAAAATATGGGGGAGGGGGGCAAAAATTTTAGATTCAGGTGGGCCGGTCGTGGAGTTCTACTTCTTTTTGCACTACGGGCTACGTAAATGTGCCAAATGTGTCAGAAATATTTCAATACGACACTAAAAATTCCATAGCTAGGTATTTTACCTCGAAAACACAATCACCAAAAGTTTGAGCTACAAACCTTTCGCTTTTCTCCGGACGAATTTTGCTCTGTTTTGAAAATGGCGGCTGAAAGGAAGTCACGTGAGACGAAATATCGCGAGACTTGAGCCCAGCCTAATCTTCAAGCAGATGTTAGGAGGCAAATCGTGTGGCGCAGTCGGTAGCGCGTTCGGCTCACACCTAGGTCGCGGGTTCGAACCCTGCCCATGTCGCCGATCTTGTGCCCTTGGGAAAGGCACTTTACACGACTTTCATCACTTCACTCAGGTGGAAATGAGTACCTAGCTTGGGCAATAGAGACGTCCCTCGGATAGAACGTTAAATGGAGGTCACGTGTTTGGGAGAGCCACACCCCACGCACGTTAAAGAACCCACCGCACTTATCGAAAAGAGTAGGGGACCTTCCCGGTGTGAGTGGTTCAAAACCTTACAGTCCGGTCTTACGCAGCTTGTACATGTACGCACATGTACAAAACTGGTGTGTTACGCCTAAAGGCGGTTTACCGGTTATGCGAAACAAACAAACAAACAAACAAACAAACAAACAAACAAACAAACAAACAAATCGTTACATGTACGCATTGCTAGCTGCCCGGTTCTATCACAAATTCACGGTGAAATAAAAAGGAAGGAGGGCTTAACTGAATTCTCGCAACTTCTTAGAGACAGTTGTTTCTTTTTCTTTCTCTTTTCTTTCTTCTAACATCATTTTCAAGTGGAATAATAAAAGTTCTTTCTCTTAAAAACGTATTTCTCATCTCTAAGCCCCAAAAGACTCCGAAGTTCAGACAATCAACTGCGCCACGCGTACAAGACTAATCATGGGTTGTTTGTCACACGGCAGTACGAAACAGCCACCGAAGGAGACGGACACACATAACAAGACTGTCAGGAACAACAGCAACCTGTGCTTCAGGTATTCTACACAAGTTCTTACCAAGAGAACGCCAACTGAAGCTATTATGACTTGCTTAAAATGTTTGCTTCTGCCAGTGGTCAATCAGTTTATGCTAAATCTGTTGTGTAGATTGTTTTTTTTGTTGTTGTTGTTTTGTTTTGTTTTGTTTGAATCACGATTAAGTTTCTAAGCAGATGTTAAGGTGGAAGATTATTATGATATTTTATAACAGTAGCTAAGGCAAGAGTAGACACCTGCTATAGAAGCACGGCCGAAAGAACGTCGTTCAAGAATCTTCTTCCCAACATCTTTTGAGATTAGATTAGTTCTCAAGATCTTAACAGGGGTGTTGCGTCCTTATACCTTTGCTTGGTGACGTCATACTCCTGAGACTAATTCTGTTATAAACAGAATATTTAGATGGCCCATGGCACCTTGCTTCCGCCTGAGTCTTTAAAAGTGTTCTAGGCCCGATATTACTCTAATGTCGTCTCTACAAGGCCTCCTACAAAACAACGAACGTATAGCAATTGTATGCAACTCCAACAGCCGAAGTACTGTCACGACTGCGGTGGAAGGACATTAGTTCTATACATAGACACCAGAAGGCACTGTTAGTCTACAAGTCTCTCAACGGTCTGTTACCCGACTATATGAGACTAATGTTCACTTACTCTAGCGACAGGGCAGTCAGGACAACACGTCAAAGTGTATCAAACAGATTGCATGTACCGATGGTCCGTAGAGAGCTATACAGGAGATCGATAGCGTACTCGGGTGCCACGACATGGAACAGTTTACCGCCAAATATGTAAGAATAGCACCCTCAGTGGCAGCATTTAAGAACATGCTGCAATAATCCACTATGGAATTGATCAGGACTGGACCATAGAAACGATGCTGTGACTAGTGTAAGTTGTAATGAAATTGTAATACGTTAATTTTGAAGCTATTGTGTTATCGGGACCCCTGGCCTCTCCCACCTTGAGCACTTGAAAAGCGGCTATGGCCGAAGTGTAATCTTTCAAGGCTAAATAAGTCGAAAAAAAAATGTGTCACAACCAAAATACTTGTATCATATAATTATGCTGCTGCTTCCTGTCATAAAGGTACAAAATAATGTCTCTTTTCAAAGTAAAAACGTTGGGGGTGTCATAATCTGCAACAACCTTTTTTTCATTAATCGTACAAACAAATGGGTAGTCCCTTCTGCCGTTGAGGCTAATTTCCAAGGGAGCCCATGCAAGCATTGCAAGAAAAGAATGTAGCATGAAATAATAATAATAAAAGTTGAAATATGGAACCTGGCAGGAAAGTAAGGCTCAAGTTTCTCAAATTGTCGTCTTGCAAAAAACCTTTCTCTTACCTAAGGAATTATGGTCAACAAGAACAAAAGCTCACTTTTCTCGATCCAAAAAGGCAAAGCTTATATTGTCTCCATCCGGCAAAGCCCCAACTCTCTTTATTCACAAAGATTGCAACACATTTCATCCAAGAAAGCAACGGACTTATCTTGATCCCAAAACGTACCGCACGTTTCTTCTTTTTGTCCAAAAAGCACCACTCTTTTCTTTCTCCGTTCATGCAAGAAAGCAATGCACTTCTGTTTTTTTTTAATGCAAAAAGGACTGCACTTTTATCTCTTCAAATTCATTCAAGATGAACAATCCATGGCCAGACAATTGACTCCAGCATTGGTATAAGACTAATCTTTGGTGTTTTTTTTTTTGTCACGGCATTACGGATCAGCTAGCTACCGAAGGAAGCTGACACACCCTACAATAACAACAGCAACCTGTGCCATTCTACACGAGTTCCTACCCAGAAATGACCAACAGACACCTTTCTGACTGACTTGAAAGGTATGTGCCTTCCAGCTGATTCGAGGTACAATCAGTCGTGTGGATAGTTTGTTAAATCTTTATGATGAAATTAAAGAAAAAACAGTCAGAGCTTGTTTTATACACCTAACGGGAGATCTTTTATTGGCAACAGCAGACGAGACTGAATGTCCCAATGTTCGGTCAAAACGAAGAATAGTGACTGTTTAGTTTAAAGTACGGCTTCAAATATAGGGAGCGAAAACCTTTAAAATAAAGTGTTAATTTGTCTATTTCTGCGTTTGATTTCCATGCCTGGAAAGTTTCAAGTTACAGAAACGTCAGGATTAAACAACTTGAAATATCATCAATATTCAAAAAGCCTTCCCCAGACAATCACCAAGGCCACGGTAAATGAAACTGTTAGTTCCATGGTGTAAATTGACGACGTTTTTTCCTCCTGTTTCTTCTTTGTCTTCTGTCCTATGATAAGAATTGTTTCGATTTCGTCATTTTGGGGCCAAAAAAAACTTACATTTAGTATGAAAATCAATGTGATTAACAAGCACTGTATGTGTATTGGGAACTTCATGGGGCTACTGAACAATTGATACTGGAAGTCCCCCTTAGCCAGAGGAAGGGTCAGAAGGCAGACCTTTAGAGTTGTTAGTGACTGGAATGCTCTGCCACAGTCCGTAGTCGACTCAAAAACAGTGAACGAGTTTAAGACACAGTTAGACAAACAATGGGAGGGTATGAAGTACAAAACTTGAGTGAAGTTCGAGACCGGGATTACTACAGGCAAGCCTTCTCATCCCGAACATGGTATCAAGGTATCAAGGTAGCACTGTAAGTAAATTTAACATCGTTTTCAAGTGGAATAAAATGTTTTCTTATCTCTATCAAAAACAAAAAAAAAACACCGTATTTCTCATCTCTAAGCCCCAAAAGACACCGAAGTTCAGACAATCAACTGCGCCACGCGTACAAGACTAATCATGGGTTGTTTGTCACACGGCAGTACGAAACAGCCACCGAAGGAGACGGACACACAACAAGACTGTCAGGAACAACAGCAACCTGTGCTCCAGGTATTCTACACAAGTTCTTACTCAGAGAGTGCCATCTGAAGCTATCATGACTGGTTTAAAATGTCTGCTTCTGCCAGTGGTCAATCAGTTTATGCTAAATCTGTTATGTAGATGGTTTGTTTTGTTTTGTTTGAATCACGATAAAGTTTCTAAGCAGATGTTAAGGTGGAAGTTTATTGTGATATTTTATAACAGTAGCTAAGGCAAGCGTAGACAACTGCTATAGAAGCACGGCAGAAAGAACGCCGTTCAAGAATCTTCTTCCCAACATCTTTTGAGATTAGATTAGTTCTCAAGATCTTAACAGGGGTGTTGCGTCCTTATACCTTTGCTTGGTGACATCATACTCCTGTTATAAACAGAAAATTTAGATGGCCCATGGCACCTTGCGTCCGCCTGAGTCTTTAAAAGTGTTCTAGGCCCGATGTTACTCTAATGTCGTCTCTACAAGGGCTTAGGCCTCCTACACAACGAACGTATAGCAATTAGCAACTGTATCACAACCAAAATACTTGTATCATATAATTATGCTGCAGCTTCCTGTCAAAAAGGTACAAAATAATGTCTCTTTTCAAAGTAAAAAGGTTGGGGGTGTCATAATCTGCAACAACCTTTTTTTTTATTAATCTTACCAAAAATGGGTTGTCCCTTATGTCGTTGAGGCTAATTTCCAAGGTAGCCCATGGAAGCATGATACAAGAAAAGAATGTAGCATAAAATAATTATAATAAAATTTGAAATATGGAACCTGCCTGGCAGGAAAGTATGGCTCACGTTTCTCAAATTGTCGTCTTGCAAAAAACCTTTCTCTTACCTAAGGAATTATGGTCAACAAGAACAAAAGCTCACTTTTCTCGATCCAAAAAGGCAAAGCTTATCTTGTCTCCATCCGGAAAAGCCCCAAATCTCTTTATTCACAAAGATTGCAACACATTTTATACAAGAAAGGAACGCACTTATTTTGCTGAAACGTCTGACGTTTTCAAAATCATATCCAGTTGCTTGAGTAACTGCTTTTTGGCGTATCGTATTACCTGGATGTCTAACCTTCATCGACAACGCACTTATCTTGATCCAAAAACGTAATGTAACATAAAATAATAATGATAAAATTTGAAATATAGAACCTGGCAGGAAAGTAAGGCTCACATTTCTCAAATTGTCGTCTTGCAAGAAACCTTTCTCTTACCTGAGGAATTATGGTCAACAAGAACAAAAGCTCACTTTTCTCGATCCAAAAAGGCAAAGCTTATATTGTCTCCATCCGGCAAAGCCCCAACTCTCTTTATTCACAAAGATTGCAACACATTTCATCCAAGAAAGCAACGGACTTTTCTTGATCCCAAAACGTACCGCACGTTTCTTCTTTTTGTCCAAAAAGCACCACTCTTTTCTTTCTCCGTTCAAGAAAGCAATGCACTTCTGTTTTTTTAATGCAAAAAGGACTGCACTTTTATCTCTTCAAATTCATTCAAGATGAACAATCCATGGCCAGACAATCGACTCCAGCATGTGTATAAGGCTAATCTTGGGTTGTTTGTCAAACGGCATTACAGATCAGCTACCGAAGAAGGAGCTCGAGGCTGACACACCCTACAAGAACAACAGCAACCTGTGTTAGAGGCATTCTACACCCAGAAATGACCAAACAGACTTGAAAGGTATGTGTCTGTCAGCTGATTCGAGCTGATTATCAGTTGTGTAGATAGTTTGTTATATCTTTACGATGAACTTAAAACATCAGTCAGAGCTTGTTTTTATACACCTAAGGGCATGTTGATTTGATTATATGGATGACATCCTCCGGGAGCCCCAAAACTGATGCGCGCGTGCGAATAAAAAAATGTTTTGCAAAAAAAAGTTCTTTTCATTATGAAATCTACGTGGTCATGAGGATTGAGCAAATGGCACAGAATATGGTTTGGCGAATAATCAAGTCTTCAAGTTCATTTCTTTACAATTTCGTCTTTTTTTCGTTTGATTTTGGCATTCTACGACATTGGTATAATTTTTTTGTAACTTATGGTATATTTTTGCTCATTTTGCAACTGTTTTGTACGATTTACAGTATGGTTGAAAACTTTTTTTTTTGGAAACGGCCGAAAATTCATGCGCGCGCGGATGTCATCCATATAATCAAATCAACATGGCCTAACGTCAGATCTTTTATTGGCAACAGCAGACGAGACTGAATGTCCCAATGTTCGGTCAAAACGAAGAATAGTGACTGTTTAGTTTAAAGTACGGCTTCAAATATAGGGAGCGAAAACCTTTAAAATAAAGTGTTAATTTGTCTATTTCTGCGTTTGATTTCCATGCCTGGAAAGTTCAAGTAATAGAAACGTCAGGATAAAACAGCTTGAAATATCATCAGTATTCAAAAAGCCTTCCCCAGACAATCACCAAGGCCACGGTAAATGAAACTGTTAGTTGCATGGTGTAAATTGAAGACGTTCTTTCTTCTTTTCTTCTCTGTCTTCTGTCCTTTGGTCAAATTGATTCGAATTATTCATTTTGGGGGAAAAAAAAAAACTTAAAACTGGAGATTTTTGTTCTATTGGTATTTTTGTAAAGGCTTTACATTTTTTTTTACCATTTCCCGTCATACAATGTATATGTTGGAAATTTGATAAGTGTGTCCGCTATGCAAGTATCAACAGGAATCCATCAACAATTTTGTCATAAACGCCATTAAAATGGTAAAAATGGATAAATTTTAAACTGTTTTCAGGTCAAAATGTACTGTAAACAGGGTGTGGCCGTATTTGGAATACAGAGCAATGCAGCTGTATGGGGTTTTTAGCGCGACGGGTGGGGGAGGGAGGTAAAACAATACTGAAAGGCACTACATTGGGGCTTTGGGAATTCTTTCTACGGAAAACTACTATATGGTATTTTCGAGAAGAGAAAATTATGTGATTAACAAGCACTGTATGTGTATTGGGAACTTAACGGGGCTACTAAGCACTTGGTACTAGAGAGCACATAGAAAAGGTTGATATGGAACAGTCAATTTGGGAATGAGGGGGGGGGGTGGAGTGAAATATGCTGCATCATCTCCCGAGCAAATGTCTGCCCTTCTAGTTTCATCTTGATTTTCAGACTCGAATTATTTCTCATTTGAGATCCAGGATATAAAATTGGTTTGGCCTTACAGGGGAACTTCCTGTTCTATTTAGGTGTCAGGACACCATGGGAGGGCTGCGACGCTTGCTGATTTTCCTTCTCGTCGTCCTGAAAGAGCCCAACATGCCAGAAGCTGACTGCAGCTGTGTACCATCATCAGACTGCGAGTGCCCCGACCGAGGTTTCACCAACATCCCACAGGACCTCCCAAGGTCCATCTCTGGCTTAGAGTTAAGACGTAATCTTATTACAACCGTAAACCGGCCCCTGTTGGCGAGGTATATAAATTTGACAAACTTGGGTCTGTCAGGAAACCAGATAACAAAGATTACGGCAGATACATTTACATATCTACCAAAACTCAAACAGTTGGACCTGTCGAAAAGCAACATAACAGAGATACAGCCTGGTGCCTTTCAAAAGCTGCCCTTGCTGGAATCATTGACGGTGCATTCCAACCACATAACAATGATTCAGACAGGTACATTCGCAAACCTATCCCGTTGCGAATTTTTGTACCTGTCCTTCAACAAGATAACTATCATCAGTTCTGGCACATTTGACAATCTGCCCCGACTCAAAAGGCTGCACCTGTGCCAAAACCAGATAACAGAGATTCAAACTGGTGCGTTTGCTAATTATCTACCCCAACTCGAACGGTTGGACCTGTCCTCCAACAAGATAACTATCATCAGTTCTGGCACATTTGAAAATCTTCCCAAACTCCAAAGGCTGTACCTGAACAAAAACCAGATAAAAGAGATTCAAACTGGTGCGTTTGCAAATCTACCCCAACTCGAAATGTTGGACCTGAACTCCAACAAGATAACTATCATCAGTTCTGGCACATTTGAAAATCTGCCCAAACTCCAAAGGCTGTGCCTGTTTGGAAACCAGATAACAGAGATTCAAACTGGTGCGTTTGCAAATCTGCTCCAACTCGAAAGGTTGGACCTGTCCTACAACAAGATAACTATCATCAGGTCTGCCACATTTGAAAATCTGCCCAAACTCCAAACGCTGTACCTAAAAAATAACCAGATAACAGAGAATCAAACTGGTGCGATTGCAAATCTACCCCAACTCGAAGGGTTGGACCTGGCCTACAACCAGATAACTATCATCAGTTCTGGCACATTTGAAAATCTTCCCAAACTCCAAGGGCTGTACCTAAACAAAAACCAGATAAAAGAGATTCAAACTGGTGTGTTTGCAAGTTTACCCCAACTCGAAATGTTGTACCTGAACTCCAACAAGATAACTATCATCAGTTCTGGCACATTTGACAATCTGCCCCGACTCAAAAGGCTGAACCTGTTCCAAAACCAGATAACAGAGATTCAAACTGGTGCGTTTGCTAATCTACCCCAACTCGAACGGTTGGACCTGTCCTCCAACAAGATAACTATCATCAGTTCTGGCACATTTGAAAATCTGCCCAAACTCCAATGGCTGAACCTGGCCCAAAACCAGATAACAGAGATTCAGGCCGGTGCACTTGAAAATCTACCCCGACTCCTTTGTCTAATCCTGTTTCGAAACCAGATAACAGAGATTCAGGCCGGTACATTTACAAATCTAACCCTTCTCAAGATCTTGAACCTGTCCTTCAATAAGATGTCTGTTATTCCCCCTTCAGCTTTTGATTTGTTGTTATCTATTCGCACCGTAAATCTGAAAAGAAACCCTTGGCGGTGTGACTGTAGAATGGCTCCTTTCAGGATGAATATCACCAAGTTCCCATCATTTAAGGACCAGATAATATGCGCCCAACCCGCCAAATTCAAGGGACAGAACCTTAAAGATATCAATCCTGAAAAAATGATATGTAAAGATAGCCAATTACAACGTGTTGATAACTTTTACAACGGCACCGTCACCTCTCGCTATCACTGGATATTCAGGAACAATGCTGGCTCGACGGCACATCCTGTAGGCAACTATACTGGTTTAACAATAGCAACACTAACTACATCCCGTACAATCACAGCAGACGCCAGTACCCTCAGTATCATTGCCACAGCAGACGCCAGTATCCTCAGTATCATTGTCCCTGTCTGTGGTTTAGTAGCTGGCATTGTCCTGATAGGCGCCACCATTCTTATAGTGTGGTGCAAGATGAAGACCAGGCATCCTCCTTTAGGACTGAATCCCAATGTTGTTGCTGACAACACCACCACACATAGTGTAATGACCAGTGACTTTGACCACCAGTATATCGACCAACATAATCAGACAGGGCAGAGTCAGTCTAAATCCATTACTGAATCCAACACAAAAACCACAGCTACTGTGATGACCAGTAGTCATGATCAGACAGGGCAGGGTCAGTCTCAGACCATCACTGAAGCCAACACAACAACCACTGTGACAACCACTGTAGTGACCAGTGACCATGATGATTACCTGTATGAAGATCACTGAAGCCAACACAACAACCACTGTGACAACCACTGTAGTGACCAGTGACCATGATGATTACCTGTATGAAGATATGGACCAACATAATCCCAGTGACCATGATCCCCAGTATGTAAATAGCGACCAGCATACTACTAATACCAGTGACCATGATGATCACCAGTATGAAAATAGTGACCAACATAACCAGACAGGGCAGAGTCAGTCTCGATCCATTACTGAGTCCAACATAAACACCACAGCTACTGTGATGGCCAGTAGTCATGATCAGACAGGGCAGGGTCAGTCAAAAGCCATCAATGAATCCAGTACAAACACCACAGCTGCAGTAGTGGCCAGTAGTCATGATCAGACAGGGCAGGGTCAGTCTCAGGCCATCACTACTGAATCCTTGGATGCTAGAAATCTTTATTATGCCACAGGGACTACAGTCTCACAGCTAAATCCTATGTACGATGAAATCCGGGAACAAGATGATTAAATCCACATTTCAACAGCATGAAGACTAGTAAATCTGATCAGTAACAGAGAACAAAATGTATCTTCTAAAAGAACACTGAGAGATCTGTTGGATCTATACTCTCACAATAGTCTCATTTATGTTGAATCCCTTCTCGAGGAACCAAACACTTAGAAAGTCCATGGACACATTTTGAAAAAAAATTCAACAAAAAGTTGTGAAACTAGGCATTTTCCATATCACATTTGTGTAACTGTCTCCACTCTTAATTTTAGAATCCACCACTAAAACACCCTTTATCATTCAATGTTTTGGAAAGTTTGTAAATGAGAGTAGAGATTTCCATCCGACAGAGATACGAATCGGAGTATGTATAAAGGTATTTACTTCAAAGACAATAAGGACTTTCCAACTGCAATTCGTGTCAATTTCGACGTACGTGAGTAGATCAAACCTTACAGCCTGGTTTTACGCAACTTGTTATGTACTTTTACTGTACAAAACTGATTAAACCTTAAGGTCTCATTCATGTATTACTAAACTAGTACCAACCCAAAACGTAAACGGCTGTATGAAAGTGTGTTTATGTTGGTGAGAAAATTCTTTTTAGCCAGCCCAATGAATTTAAAACGTCAATGTAGTGAAAGCTTGTTTTTAATTGAGGAAATTAGGACGTAATCGTTGGCAGCCGCGCGATAGGTCGGATGTAGACAGTGTTTTGGGTAGTAGTCATATGTTTGAAGCGTGAAAGGGCCTCTTGCGGGGAGCCACTAGCTTGTAATTGCCATAAAAAGGCATTGTGTATATAAAAGCCATTGGCAATTTCTTCATGTGATGTATAGAGTAAATGTACTGAACCCATAAGTGTATAGGACCAGTATACGCTTATATGTGCAACCCGTATACATGTGTATATATGGGCCCAGCAGTACAAGGGCATAGTGATGTGTTAACAATGATATAGAGAACCTGCCTACCTGCCTAAATGCTTAGGCCAGAACTGGCCCCTTGCTCCTCTTCATTTTTTCCCGCCAGGCATCACGGTCCTTAGCCTTTCGTTCAGCGTACTTGAGGGACCACCCCGTGTCCTGTACTATCTGTACTATCTTTTAGGGGGTCTTCCTCTAGGTCTGGGGTTTGTGAAATCCTGATGGTAGGCCCCATATACCAAAGAGTCTGGGGGTCTCCTCTGAACGTGACCAAACCACCACAGCCTTCTTTTACGAATGTCGTCGATTATGGTATTTTCCATTCCCAGCATGACTCTGATTTCCTCATTTCTGATGTGGTCTATCCATGAGACATTCAGGATAGCTTGCAGGCATCTCATTTCAAAAGCCAATAGGAGTAGGAATAGAGAACATGTTACAGCATTGTTATATATTTAGTATTACAGCCCAGCGAGTCAGTTCACGCGATGAGTTGAGAGTAAAGTACGGACCAGTAATCGCACAGGTTTGGCCTGTGATCTGTAGCCAACTGCAAATGCCTTTTACTTAAAGTGGTAAATTGATGTCTTTATATGAAGTTTTAAATACTTAAATCTTCTCTGTCTGTATCTTAATGAAAAAGATATTGTACCTGTTTTTTTTAAATATCTAGCGTTTTTTCATAATACATAAATTGCATATGCATATTAAATGAACACAACAAAGTGACGACGTGTTAAAGTTATAGACACGTATATACGCACCGCCAGTTGTACAGCACGAGAAATGATGTTTCAAGGTAAATTAACAATGTAAAGCATTACCAAGAATTATTGTCCTTGAAAATCATTACTAATGACGCTAGGTCAAACATGCATGACATTTATGGGAAATAGAGGCTCATAGCTTTGTACTGATGTACATGTATATCACATTGGGGTATTGTGGAGGAAAGGAACCAAAACTAGTGAAATAAAAATAGTACCCCCTATTATAAAGGGGTCTGGAAACTTACTGGTAAGAAACTCCAGCAGCGTAAGAATTAACACTATAGATGTAAAGTAGGCACCTAGTTTTGTCTCGTATCCAGGGCCAACGGCCTCAACTGTTCATTGGAGCAACTTTAGCTCTTGTTGCTTGTGTGCTTTGATTATACTTTGACCGTTTTGGGCCACACCGACTTAATTTTATGGATGACATCCTCTGAAGACCCCCAAACCAGTGCGCACGGGCGAATAAAAAAATTCCGGCCAAAAATAAAAATGCTACTAAACCACAGGAATACAAAGCTGGTATTGTGAATTTGCGGCAGTACATAGCGACGTATACGACAAGCCGACACATACTGGCTTTTTGTGGAATTTATGAATCGGCACGAGTTCTTGCCGTCGTTCGGTAGCCTGGGTGCCATTCGGTCCAGAGTTACAACCGGCTCCGCATTGTCACTAACTACCATGGACTAGAAAAGTCCTAGAGTAGAGGCCTAGAGCGTGATATTTTTTTTTTTTGAGAACAGGCGAAAATCAATGCGCGCGCAGATGTCATCCATAAAATTAAGTCGGTATGGCTTTATATTTCTTAAATTGCTTTGGTTTGGTTTGGTTAGTAAGGTATGAAATGACCATGACATGAGAATGACAACAAGAGGCACCTTTGTAACATGGACAATGTACAATATACAATACGAACGTTTGCAATGCTAATTCAAATGTGTTAACATTTGATTGTCATTAAGATGTTGAAGTTGCAACTCGAGGCTGTCTTTTTAGAATTACACCTGCAAGACTATGTACTTTTTCTGTCTCCGTTCACAAGGAGTTTAGCAATAAAAAAAAGCACTGTCATGACGAAGGTCTCTGGATTCTTCATGAGTGTACTATATTATATTGACCTTCCGGTCAGTTATTTAATTATTTAATTGAAAAAGTTTAACTTATACCAATTATTATTACTATCATCAATGCATCTTATTCATAATCTACATTACCTTACTTCATTGTTATTAATTTATACCGTATATTATTTCTGAACTTTATTCCAACACACAATTGCAGAATTGCAGATCAAATTTTCAGCGACCACTGTCGCCTTCATCAGGATAATTCATGACCAATTACTGAGTGAGTTTCTTCACCGCACTTGAAGGTGTTGTATAGGTGGAGTTTCAATCAGTTATGTCATGTCTAATCTCCAAGCAGATTCGGTGGAGCAAGGGGACTTTATGTTGGCCGCCTGTGGGGCGAACGATGAATACAGGCGGCCAATGGATGGATACAGATGGCAAACATTAAGTCCCCTTGCCCCACTGCATCTGCTTGAAGATTATGTCATGCCGTCTGTTGAAGGGGGGGTGCATGGGGGTGGGTGGTGGTGTTGGACAACGGTCTACCTAATTTTGAGAGCGGGCTACGTATTACACACTACAGTAGCGATTACGCTTTACGATAAATTCCAAGTGGCTACAACGCAATAACGTGGAAATAAAACATAAATTACGTTCTACGCAAAATTAAACGCTCTACGTTGAATTAGAGCGCTCCGTCTAAGCTCTACGTAGAATTAAAACGGCCGATTACGCTCTACGGAAAAGGGCTTGCGGGCCCCAATCAGGTATGTCAAGCCTAATCTCCAATCAGATTCGTTGTGGTATTAAAGGGGACTTAATGTTGGCCGCCTGTGGGGCGGAAGATGGATACAGA